GGTAACATAGCTCTGCAATAGTTGAGTATAACATCTCATAAAACTACATGCTAGAGAGGGACAAGGATGTTTATGACAGTTCTTGCAAGCTCCTTCCTGCCTTCAACTTAAATCTACTTCAGTGTTTAAAGCTTTACTGAGGTCTTTAATTTCAGGGATAGTCCTGGATGCAGAATTGTTTCAAATTGACCCCAAGAGATGATGAAAAACAGATCTTCAATAAAGAGTGGTTTGAGATAAAGTCTATAGTGCAGATTAATCTGAATTTAAATCCATGTTTGGTTTCAGTCTGCCTTTTTTTTTTTTTGTCAGATTAGAACCACTCATGTAGAAGATGATCTTATGACATATACCTTGCTGCTTTATCCAGTGGAACAGAGAAAAGTAGCTATTGTTTTGCAGCCTTTAGTATCTTTGGAATAAATTATACGAATTTCAACTAAACTATACAAATGCTGAAATGTAGCTCTCATCAAATAACATATCGGATAATTGTGTATCTTGAGGAAAACTTTAAATGCAGGTACTGCAAAAGTTATTTAGATTATACTATGCCACCTTTTTGTAGGCTGAAAAGAAACATTTTAATAACACTTTAATAGTATGGTTCCTTGTGCCATTTAATGTGCCATTACAGGTATTCTGCCTGTACATAACAGCTAAAATATCTTCTCATGATTTCTTAAGACAAAATGTTCAATGAATGCTTTTTTTTCCCAGGATTTTTTCAATCCTTTTTTGTTACTAACTGAGTTAAGTGATCTATGCAGGACCAGATCCTTAGCTGGTGTGAATCAGAGTAACTTTACTGGCTTCCTGGGCTGAGAAATCTGTCCTGTATGTTTTTGTAAGCAGGAAGTTTACATGGGGAGAACTCACTCTCCTCTTAGAAGAGTTGTTGCCCTAGAAAGGAAGGATTTCATTTGAAGTGTCCATCTCTGCTTCAAAGCTAGTATTGCAGATATGAGATTCTTCTCTTTGTTTCTCCAGCATATTGACCTACATCTCTAATGCCAAACTTGACACAATTTGATGTAACTGTGTAAGCCTTTTTCCATTTAGTTATATTTAGGGTCCCAAATGGTTTTATAATGGGGTATCACAAATGCTTACATTTTTTTATATCTAAGAAGCTAGAGTGGATGCTGCATTTGTTGTAATGGTCACTGCATTCTCTTCCCTGTAGCTGTAGCTTACACAGTGACAGCATTACATCCTTACCTACAGTTTCTTGTACTTGTTTCCTTCCTGTTTTCTGCCAACAAGTAACATTAGCACCCATTTACTCCTACACTTCTCAAGCTGCATGTGCTTTCTGAAGGCACAGATTTTAGCAGAGAAGCAGCAATATACCAAGACCTAAACACACAGTGACTTGATTCAAAATAGATTTTCTTACCTCCTTATCTGTCTTAACATTTCCCTTACAGGATGAACCAACAACTGGAATGGACCCTCAGTCCCGGCGCCTCCTGTGGGACTCTATTGTCAGTGTGCTCAGAGATGGGAGAGCTGTGGTTCTAACCTCCCACAGGTAAACAGTTAGAATTCAGAATTCCAGAGCAGCTGAAGTTCATCTGCTGCCTTTTACCTCAAGTATCTGTTCTCTGTTTTGACAGTATGGAAGAATGTGAAGCCCTCTGTACTCGTTTAGCCATCATGGTAAAAGGTACCTTCAAATGCCTGGGCACAATTCAGCAACTAAAATACAAGTAAGTAGAATATTTTAAAGGTGTTTTTAGTGGGAAAACTTCGTGTATGTGACATGTACCATTCTTAAAACAGTAATCCAGTCTAAAGAGCTGTTGTTTAAACAGACCCATTTCTGGGTGCAACTCTGTGGTATCCTAGACAATTTGAGCAGATATCATTTCAACTCTGTTCTGCAGGGCAAATGCCAGGCCTCCTACAAAGCTAAATATTATGCATTATCTTTGAGATACTATTAATGTTTTCATAGCTGCAGAAAATTAATTTCCTTCTTGTAGAATGAAACCGTCTCTTTATCCACATGTGTTTCCCAGGTTTGGAGATGGCTACATTGTCACTCTGAAAATCAAAGCTCCAAAGTCTGGGCTGCCTCCAGATCCTACTCCTGCTGAGCAGTTCATACGCATGAACTTCCCAGGGAGTTTGCAGAGAGAGAAACACTACAATATGCTGCAGTATCAGATCTGCTCCTCCTCTCTGGCCAAGATTTTTCGGTTAATAGTCTCCAATAAGGAAAACTTGCATATTGAAGAATATTCTGTGTCTCAAACAACTTTAGATCAGGTGAGTGAAAGATAAAGCATCCATGAGAAAGCCTGTCTGACTAGACCTTGGCAATGCAATGGGGCTGTATCCCAGCAACTGAAGGATCAAACTGTTCAGAGTAGAGAATTACCTCATGCCTCTTTCTCAGGCAAAATTCCCAGACCCCTTGTCAAGGAGGGTGGATCAGATATGAGGTCTGTAATTAATTCCATGTGTAAGTAAGTGGCATTTGAAAGCTGGTAAGACAGTTTCCCAGATGATGGAATTCACACAACTCATTCCTTCAGGAGCAACAGACTGAGCAAGGTCAGATATTCAGAATGAGGCTTGCTGAGCTGGGAATAATGTTTGTTTATTAATAAGAGATTTGGACTGTGTTGTGTCAGAGATAGTGTGATACCTACTAAATGTTGATAGCTCCTTGTCATGCACTGTTATGCAGGAGCAATTAGACACACAAAACCTAGGAAGTTCACTGCGACTTCCGGCAACACAACTTGTTAGGGGATATTAGCCCTATGGGCCTGCTTTCCTAGGCAGCCGAGGGTCCACATATTCGAAGGTGTCTTTGGGAATACTAGAGAGACATTTCTGGCTGCCTTACAGCTTTCTACTAAAATATTCAGTCTCCTTTTCCCCATTACAACCAAACTCATGCTATGCAAGTCAGGCAAATCTGTCTGAATCCATCTTCTGCTTAAGAAGAAGGATTTTAGTGACAAGAAAGTGCATCCAAAGGAAGGAAGTTTATAAAAATAAAGAAGGAATTAATAATCTCTGCTGATACACAGTGTCTCAGTTCATGTCTACAAATTCCCTGTCTCTTCCCTACAGAGAAGGCCAAGAGGATGCACATGTACAGAGACATTCCACAAACTCAGCTGATGAGATGGTGACATTTTCTGCTTTCCTCACACAGGTTTTTGTGAACTTTGCTAAACAGCAAATGGAGGATGAGGAAATCCCTTTGCACCCCCGTGCAGCTGGAGCCAGCCGAGAAGCAAAGGTGTCCCCTGCTTTGCACCAGCAGGCAGTTGCATAGACTGTTCCTACAGTTACAGTCACTAGCACTTTGAGTGTGCACAGTGCAAAGATGTGCCATACCAGAGAAGTACAAGGCTCAAAGGTCCCCACACTCAGTATTATGCTGACTTTTTTTTGCACCTTTCTGAGCACTGTGCTTGCAACAGCAACAGCCCTAGCAACAGCAAACTTCTACTGCTCTATATGGAACAGTATATGCTGAAAGTGTCAAAGGAACGGCTGGTCCTTGCTATAAAACAAAAATCTTCCTCTAACATATATCTTCATTATAAGATACAAGAGGATACATCTTATTCTTCCTTGTTGACATGTAAAGAGCATTAAAGGTAGGTTCTCCAGCTGATCCTTTTAGGCTGGTAGGTTTTTCTTGTAGTCAACTAGACCAGTCAGCAGACAGGTCCCAGTGCAGAGAGCATTGACCAGCTGAGAAGTGGATTCCTACCATCCTGAATGTGCATGACTACCAAGGTCAGAACATCAGTGCTGGCTGATGGGGCTAGTGCTGGGAGACTTCCTCATGTCTCACCAGTGAAAACAGGCAGTTGTTCCTGCATGAATGGGAAGAATTGATTCAGATCTCAGATCCAGGCACGAAATTTGCTTTTAAAAAAACCCCAAACCTTAATGAAAATGATCTCATACTCATCTTCCAGTTTCTTCAATAGAAGCATAATGTCAAAATGGAGATTAAAAGGCAAGAAAGTATGTCCAAATCTGCCAAAAGTTTTGTTTCCTCATGGAGGTGTGGAAAGGTATCTTTGTTACTAAACAGGATCAATTTTTTCTTCTTTCCTGTAATTGGACCTGAAGTGGGTGTAAAGTATGAATAAGGTATGTGCTTTTCTCTGTGCTCATAAAGAGAATTTCAACCTGCTTGTGTTCCACACTGCACTCAGTGGGAAACCATTTGGCATTTAGTTCTTTTCTCTGCTTCACAGTTAAACCAGTGGAAAATGACAAAACAAATTCACAATGATGTATTGATTCAGTTACCTACCAGGTCTAACAATTTCTAAGAAATCCTGATACGTTATATAGAAATAAAATCCGGGTCATATGGAGTTTTTTTCCTTTGTTAGGTTTTTTTTCATCACTTGATGTAGACTTTTTTTAATCTAAGGACATTCTTACTTTTTACTCTACAAAATATAACGAAATTTCAGCAACCAGCTGTAATCTTCTTCTTTTGCCATAATTATTTCAACTGATTTCAAAATAGAGTCTAGAATTTATTGCGTATTTCACCCTTACAAATAGTTGAAAAAAATCCTTCTATACATCCATTAGAGAGAAATAAATGAATCATGAAACAAAACAGTATCTATGCATTCTCTTCATATGCTAAAATAGTTTCTTGAAAATGTAATTCAGATAGAATGTAATAGTCTTTTTTTTTTACTAGGTTTTGCACAAAACCCAGCTAAGTCCCACTGAACATCTTGTGAAAAAGAAAACACAGGAAGTCCAAAACTGTAGCTGATTTTTCTTCTTGGCTCTGAAAATAGGAAGGGAGCTGAGGACCAGCAGTCACTTCACGTATCTACAAAGTGTATAAAAAAATATTCAGAGAATATTGACATAAAATGCAGGGTAAAAGGTCCTTTAGTATCATAAGGACTTGTTATAGGAAAACAGGCCAAATATCACAGACATAGCATAGATCAGATCTTCTGAACCTTATTACTAGTATGCAGTTTCTGATGAAGAAGACTGAAACCAACCAAAGAGAAACCCCACCAACACCATCAACACAGGGTGTTACATCCTCAAATACTACGAATTGCTTCTCACTTGACATTCTTTTGGCAAATTAGGGGTTAGACCCAAATCAGGTATTTCAGATATTGCCTATTTCTTTATTCCAGAAAACCATTCATATTCTTTGGTAGTGTTATGAGTTACAAAGCACCTGCCTCCAGGCAGCACACTCTTTTTCAAGTCAAAGAGGGCAGATCATGCAACTGTATTCAGGCTGGCTGAACTGAGCTCTCCAGTAGTTAGCTGGTATGTCCTCGTTCCAATGTACTTGCGTCTTGCAGAATGCCACTGCTAAATTTGGAGCTGCTTTTCAGCACAGACTTCTCAGTATCTCTGATCCATCAATCTAAATAGACTTGTACATGAGAATCTAAGTCAGTCAGGTTACAGTGAACTCTAGGGGCTTTTGACTGCCAGCTGTGCAGTGAAGCCTTATTTCTAGAAGGTGCTTCTGAGTTGAGAATTCTTGAACGTAAAGAAGTGTAGCTTTCAAGTGCATACAGTTTCCCTCAGCAGTGGAGATTCAACATGCATCAAAACCCTTTACATTTATTCACTTATTTGGCAGGAGGTTTATAAGCTTTTTCTTCTTGAAGTTCTGTGCAATATTCAAAGGAAACCTTTTTTCTTACAACAAAAAGGGAATAATTGGCATTCGAAGACTTGGATAATCCTTGAATTCTCGCAGGTAGGTGCAGTGTTTATCCTTTGCCCAGACTGTCATCTGAATGAAGCAAAGCAAAGTGAACAGCCCCACTGGAAAGAAGGGAGAAAAAGATACATTTCAGTATCAGATTAAAAACTTGCTCTTGTTGCTGACATCACTTCAGGAAGAAGTACCAAAACATTACTCACCTGGAACACACTGAGTCATGATAGTGAAACTGATCCAGGTCCCCACCTGTTTTGGCCAAGGAAATTTAAAATGTTTCTGGTGACAGCATTTGCATTTATGTCTCTATTGATCAAAACCAACCTTATCCTAGTATAGGTAAATAAAAAAGCCAAGGTCAGCCAGATCAGTTTCTAGTGTTAATAACCTTTAGCCAAAAGGTGAACAGTGCCTTCTTATCACAAACAAAATCTTCATGTTTGATTCCACAGCTATTATCATGAACAAAAGGTAAGCATTACAACATAGTGTCCTTTCCATTTCTCTGCCTACTTTGTATTTATCATCAGTGCCAGGAACAATAACTTCCTGTCTGAGGCCAAATTCTGTTCTCATTAACATCTGTTAATCACCTCTGAAGTTAAAACTTGATGCTGTCTTTCTGTGCAAGAGTGAATTTTACACTGAGTTGCACTGGTTTTAACTGCTTTTGAACCTGAGTCAGGAGTTTGGCTCCTGATTAAGGAATATGAAGCAATAAAATGATTCAAGCTTCTAAAGGAATCACAACCAACACATGCAACTGCATAACAAGAAAATGGGGAGGGTGACCCGGGTCTGTTTTCCTCTACCACAGTGTTTTCTATTTGTGTGTGATATTCCTCATATTATAACCCCACCAGATGCCCCCATCCCCTCACTGCAGCATACATTCAGTGGCAATCTCCCTGTTCTTGTCTGCAAAATTTGCACTGCTTTGGATTCATAGAGTCAACTAGGTTGGAGAAGATCTTTAAGACCAAGTCCAGCCTGAAGCACAGGCACAGGGTCTGGACTATCTGTTTATGGTTAGCTCTGCCTCAGTGAAGGAGAGGAAAAACAGGCAAGTTCCTGTCTGAAATCTGATTTTATGGGGTTTAGGAGAGGAGGGGAAAGGTATTGAACGGAACTGTTTCATGTTTAACATTCCAAAAGAAATGAAAATATATTCAGCCAAACTAAAATCTAAACATCTTGTTTGAAAATACATACCTCATATGTATAGTTAGGGCAAGATACAAAGAAAAACAGCCATGTGAAAGGATTCCTTGTTGGATATGGGATCTTACGGGTTTTGGATCCTATAGATCAGAAAACAAATCACAAAATATTCACATTCCTAAGTATATTGTTTCCTATAAAGACAACCCAACTTGCCTACTCTTGTGTCTCATCACTGTCAGAGGGACAAGCAGGATGTGGGGGGAAAACAGGATGTCCTCTGGACACACAGGAAGGGTTGGGAGGAAATGTTCTGGGCATTAGAAAGTCATCTACACATGCCTTTGATCACAGCCACTCCTGTAAGAAGAGGTACCTTAAGTTTTAGATTTAGAAGTTAAAGGTTTTCTTAGGTTGTCACAAAATGGGATTTTAGCAGTCACAGTTGATAGCTGTAAGATGTTTGACTCCTGCCTAAGGGATCCAGGCCTGAACACAGATCTTGTGCCCCTTATAGAAGCCAGTGAAATTACTTCCTCGTGCTCACCAAAGCATAGCTTATACTAGCTTTGTTTCATTTTGTACTACCAGTGTAACTAATACAACTGCTCACCCCAACACAATCTGAAATGATCAAAATTCCAGTAAGATAGGAAGTGCAACAATCTTGGATTCCTTGCACTGTCTGATCTCCCTTAGGATCCAGTCTCAACAGCTCTGAGCAACCTGTGCTCCCACAGCAGTCAGCTAGCAGGTATCAACACCCTCCAGGATCCCTCTTTTATGAGGTAGAGTAACTGTAGAAGTACTGAATGGCTTAATCAAAGTGCAGTTTTTACCATTTCTCTGAAGGTCACTGAGTGCAACATGAATGGAAAAATTTCCAGCTTCACACAGCTGCAAGAAAAAAGCATGACAGGGTTAAACGTGTGCTTCCCATCTACTGACTCTTCTTCCTTTTGTTATTTCCTGGGGTACTTACAAAAAAGGGGGGGAGTAGGAGGAAAGAATCCATCATAAGCATAATAAATATCCTTAACCACAGTTGCTGTCTGACAGGGGGACTGAATGTCTTGGTTCAAACATGAGCCCATATTGTACTTGTATGTACTTATATTATACTCACATATATTTATGAGATTTGCCAGCAAATGTGGACTCTCTGCCCAAAGGATCAGATTTACTGCTTATATAATCCCTATGAGATCTAAAGGCAGTAAACCAAAGGGGATAAAAGTAAACCTTGCTTATCTTTTGATAAAAACTTGCTTTATCTTTTGATTATACTTATGTCTTTAAAATCACCAAAACCCCCATCATTTGGATAGTTCCGGTTTCCTTAGAATACTAAGGAAAATTAAGGACTCTTAAGTTTTCTTTTCTAGAGTATAATTTATAAGAATCATGAAATATAATTGACCCAGCTTCCTCCACTGGTTTGAAATAATGCTTCACCAATCAATTATGCAGGAAGTGTTTTGAAATGACCCATTTACACAATTATGGGCTGTCTCCAGCATCTGCAAAGCATAACTATTAAAGCAAATGACTGGTGGTCAGAGCTCCTAAGTTTTATTGCCAGCTCTGTGCTGTCAGCTATGTAGTCTCTCTATAAAATGAAAACAGATGATGAACTCACAGAATTTTCCTACTAGGAAGCTGCTATGAGATCCTGTAGTTACTGACAGTTTCCCAAAGCAAGTGAACAGCTGATGTTCCAAACAAGTTACATATACATAGAAAGAACAGGTACATCTTGTTGGCTACTCTAATGTTGCTTCTGCATGTATGAAATGTTCCTAGGAATTGTGAGAATGGACAGGCAGTGACTTAAGGCTTTTTCTTCCTAAGGAAAGCTGTAAAAAACTTCTGAAGCCCAGCAAAATGAACACCTATCCCTGGAAATGATCAGCAACAGGTATATACTTGCTTGGTTGGCCAGTTTTCTGAGTTTTGTGATCTGTTGTGATCCTTAACACTCCAGCAGTTCACAAAACAAACTCACCGGCTTTTAAACAGTGTCACAAACTGTTAGTTCAAGGCTTCTTTTAAAGGTTATGAGAGATAATTATCCCACTCTTGGAATGGATACTAAATCAAAATCTTCCCTTGTGTACAAGATCACATTAAAAACTGAATAGATTGTTCAGTATGCAAGTGGTCAGCTTCATAGTATGTCCCTGCTGTTGAAGTTCTAAATACCTGCTTATCCTACTCACTCACCCACTTATACAACATGAGAAATAAAGCAATGTGTTTTGTCATTTTATTAAAAGAACAACAAACCTACCAGAAACATGATCACAGCAAAATTTATCTGTTTTTTCCCATAAGCTATAAAAACAAAAAAGTTTACATGTGAGTAGCACAAATAGGCAAATACATAAGTACTTAAATCATATTGAGAGTTGTTTTGCTACTTACAAGGAGGAGTGTAAAGAGGATGATTGATGTAATAAGCAAGCCAAGCTGCAAATCCCCAGTAATACAAGCAGTTCTGAAAAACAGGGAATTTTTCTTTGTTTTAGTACAATCCTCTAGGCCAGTATTCACTGCAAGGACCGCTGATAGCAATGAATTGGGCTGATTCTTCAAGCTGCTGATAATACAACAGAAAATGACAGTACTAAGTGTGGTAAGGCAGGAGCAGACAACAGGAGATTACAGGAAGGACACAGTGCGCATCCAGTAAGATTTCCTGACAAATATCTTGAAGCTGTTAAGTTTGTAAACAGTTTTAGAAAGTATGATCATAGTACTGAAAACAGATCTATTTTGTCTGGCAAGCCAAAAGATGAAGTGCCACCTAGGCTATATGGTGAAGAGAGACCTGTTATGCTGACCACTGAGACTTTGTAAAATCAGATTCAGGCACTGTGCTTTCTTCTCTGCTTATTAGTTTGTATTGCCCAATCTCTTGCCTTTCTTCTTCTCCTTCACCCCATCAGTTTTCTTTCTTTCTTTCCCATGCTTTAACTTTTCCTACCTACAGTCATGGTGCCTGACGTTTTCCTTTGCCCTCGCACTGCGGTATCTTTAGTTTGTCCCTTTTGCTGCTGTCTTTGGCTTTCTGTGACCTGGCTTCCATTCTCTAAACTCTGCTAAAATACCTCATGGCTGGGCTGACCAATCTCAAAGCTCGTTCACAGGCTTCATCCATGAAAAACTTACTTACAATGTCAATCTCTGCCTCTCATTTGGATTTCCTTGCCCTGCCGTTTGTGGTTTTTCTTATGACACTCATTCATTACCTTGGTGACAGGTTATCTTCTCCCACCATATATATCCACAGGTAGGAGGAAGGCCCTTTTTTGGCCTATTCCTCTTCTTCCTCTATGCTCCCACCTGTGGGTCTTGCAGAGACGGACCTTAACCCTTGTCAACAACTCTGAAATTTGCCTCTCATCAGTTGAGATTCCTTCTTTTATCAAACCTAGTGCCTCAGCTTTTCATGTTTTAGGGCATGTTTGGTTATCCCCTGCACTTCAGGAAGACCAAAACTGAGCTCTTCATCTTCCTTTCACCATTTCTCCTTTTCCTTTCTCTGATCTTTCCTTCCCTCCCATTTTCACCTAAGTGAAGCACTGCCCCTCTTACTCTTTCTTGTGATGCTTTTTTCGTGGCTTTCCATAGGTTCACATACCTTAAACACTTCTAGGCTTTTCTGCTTTCTCCTTCACAGCTTTCCTTTCCTGCTCATGAAGAGTAAATCTTTATTTAAGGCTGCATTCTTTCCTGTTCTGGCCGATCTAACTTTTTGGTTTTTTACTTGGAATTTTTCAGTCTATACAAACCAGAACTGAATTTCTAGTAATAATACCCCAAACAAGTGATTACCTCAGCATCTGCAGCCCATACTACCTGACTGCAGTGTCTGCTGGTGTGTTTTGCTGCAAATGCTGGTGAAGGGTAAACCTTCCCATCTGTTGCAAATGTTGGTATCAAACATTTCCTTGTCTTCCCACTTCCATTTCAGAGTTAATTGAACCACTGAAGTTCTCAGAGACCTCAGACAAAATAGACACCCTTTGGGGTATGCTGTTATACAAGCACATGGTATGTCCTTGCTCTGAGATTATATATTAATAGCTAGCTGATGAGAAAGAGCAAATTGTTATCCAGTAATTACAGATCAGGTGGGACATAAGAGAATTATAGAATCATAGAATAGTTAGTGTTGGAAAGCACCTTAAGATCATCTAGTTCCAAACCCCCTGCCCTGTGATTACTTCCCTTTTCCTCAGGAAATGCAGCAAAGCCAGAAGAATGACTCCCATGAGGAACAGTTTAGTGGGTGTTCTATCCATAAACTACTTCTTCCTCCCTAACACTAGCTTCTTCCAGCATAACCCACAATTTACTAACTGCTGCACAAACCTAGGAAGAAACAGTTTCTTGTAATCTTGAAATGGCATCTTATGAAAAACCTGTCCCTAACTTCAGGGCTTGGCACAGGATGGGTCATAGGGCAATGTATTTCAGTAAGCAAATAAATTATCATGGCTCAGCTCCCAACAATACACACTGTAATTAGGCTGAGCAAGTACTGTTCATCCAAAGAACATGTTTTGCTGCAAGAGTATTCCTCAGCTATAAGAAAACAAGCTTTAAGAGTGGAGTCTGCCACTGCTAAGGTCCTTAGCAGGAACACGACAAATGTCTAGCTGCCACTAGAAGTCGTATTGCTCATAAAGCCTCCAGTGAGGTTCAGGTAGAAAGAGTACATGCAGACTACATGTAGGCTTTCAAAAGAAAGTGTTTCTGTGACTGTTTCATATTCCAGGTAAATAATACAGTTTTACAACGATCTTTTATGAAAAAAAAAATAAGTAATTGTGGATCAAGATCAAATCTTGCAGGGATCCCATAAATAAATTATTCCTAAATTCACAAAGTTATGGCTAGGACTTTTATTTTCTCTGTTCTAACTGATGATCCCTATGATGGCCACAGCTATTTCTTAATGCCCTGCCTGTGTTTATTCATGACTAGCATATACCCTTCTGTTTGTCTCATTATATTGCCTTCTGGTTTAAATGGTATTTCTTTAGGTCTAGGGTTTTTTTTTCCTCCAGGTGTTTTTATAGAAAGCAGCAATATCCCTTCTATTTACCCATGAAAATGTTCAGTAAGACTAGTTATATGGCTATAATCTTTGAGGAATTCCACTGGTACCTCCCTAGTATTAAAGGCCTGACATGCTTTTCCAGCACAACCACAATCATCTTTCCTTTAGTTAGTTACTTTATCACCACACAATTTTTGTATTCATCCCCATCTTATTCAGTCTGAGCCAGTTGTTTACTAAGTCCACATATATCAGGTGTTCTACATTTCTGCTTTTGATGAACCCCTGCTGCATTTTATGGCATCATTTATTCCTATTTCCATTTGGGAAACAAAGGATGAAAATCACAAATCTCATTAATTCCTGTCTTAGATCTCTGCTTACTGAGACTGAAGTGGGTCTTATTAAAGATAAGATTCCAGGTGCTTAGGAAATAGGCTATGTATATCTGCTATGTATGCGATCAAACACTTGAAGCAAGAAGCTTTGTCTACCACCTGCATGTGAGAGGAAAAAGGAAGAGGATATGATACTTTTCTCACTGGCACAATTTTGGAGTAAAACCACTGAAGTAAATGAAATTATACAAGCAGATCAAACCCAAGCACTGCTAAGAGATAGAAGAACTGTGAGCAACTTTACAGATGAAAGCGAGTACAACCAACCTGAGAAGGTGGAAAAGTTGAAGCAATCAGAATGATCAGTACAAATGTCAATTTTAGCAACAAGTTTGTATGGCCTGAAAGGAACAAGTAGTTGTCAGAGACAGCAGTGAGAAAATGAAAACTTACCACACTGCACACATCCTTTTTCAAGGTAAAGTTTCTCATTTTTCTGCTGTTTAACATGCATTAGCTGGTCTTGTGTCAAGAGCAAGGCTTTAAGAAATCTACTAGCCTTTTAACAACCCCTGTACCCTTCCACTGCAGAAAACACAGTAAATTGGCAGGAAGTATTCTTCCTGAGGGTCGCTGCTCAACTACAGACCCTCCCTCCATTTGGAAAGCATGAAGCTGCTACCAGAACTACCAGAACACATCCATTAGGAGTTAGCCACAAGGTAGAGCTTCAGTTGCTGGAAGTATGATGGCCATAAGGCAAATTCCAGGGGTCTGTCTAAATACCAAATGCTAGAATCCCAAATGCTGATACTATAGGCTTTTCCAGTTCCCTGTCTTCCTGAATATAAAACATGTATTTGAATACCTTTGTGTATTCTGTTGCAGCCATTTGTAAAATAACTGCAGCCCACTCGTAACCATGCAGTTCACTGTACTACTTCACAGACATCTAGGCCTGCATCTCAACAACTGCCCTATGGCACAGAAGCAGTAGGAACATTAGGGAGTGCTCTTGCAGGAGAAGAAAATACAGAACAACCAAACTGCTTTGTGCTGGATCCAAGCTAAATTAGCAGTTGCTTAACAGCAAAGACAGTGTTCAGGGCAAAACCATTCAACATTGTGCTTGCCTGTGCTATGTTAAAACTTCACGCTGTTACTAAAACCTTCTCTGCCAGGGAGCTAGATGAGTGATTCTGAAAGCGCAATGAGATTATTATAACATAAATAACAGTATGGCAACATGTGGGTTATACAATAGCAACATTAAGAAATCTCTTGATAGAATTACAGCTTTACAGGTGAGATTTGCTGTGTGTTACTGCAAAAGCCACACCAAAAGGTCTGTGCTGCAGAGGCAGAGCATAGGTTGGTTAGGTTGGATTTGCAAGAGGGGCCATGGATAGATTCTGACACAATTTACCTTCACAATATTCCTCAGTGGCATAGTTCCATGGGAGAACCGATGAACAAATACTGTTTCAATCAACCTTTTGATGTAGTGGAAAGAATGGCAGATACATGCCAAGCTAGAAACAGCAAGACAAAAGCATTTAAGAGTGCTTAAAAAAACAAGTGTGGCAAGACATTTGGAATAAGACTACAATGCTAACAAGAAATACTTGCTCAGGCCTGCAAAAGGACTTACTTAACTACTGGATGCGGACTTGATGTAAACCTCTCATCCAGTCCATAGACAAAAGGCATGCGGAAATAAAACAGAAAATAGATGAACAATGGACCTGTATATTCTATCAAAAATACCTGCAAAAAGAGAGAAAATCATTAGACAACTGAATTACATGATGATTTTGCTTTGGTTTCTTAGTGATAACTAATGCAGTGGGATAAACACCTCCACAGATCCAAGACGGCATTTAGAGAGGCAGGGACTGAACAGCAGGTTTGAGCTTAGGCTATGAAACTGGTAGTCATGCATGTAAACATTTGCAGTGCATTTGCCTCCATTGCATACAAACAGCCATTGCTAGTGCAGCTGACACAGTGTGGACATGAAAAGATAGTAACGGCAGCCCAGAGATCATGATAAATATGCATGCATGTTACATTTACACAGCTCTCGCCCTTCTCTAGCCCTGAAAAACTATTGCTTTATTTTGGGTTAAAATGAAATCTGGTGAAGAATTTGTCTTGGAAAAGAAGAGCTTTGCTTCTAAGGGATTAATTTTGTTAAAACTGGAAACACAGCTTGTAAGTGTTCACGAGTGACCCCATCTGTATGAGCAGTTAGCACAGCCTGGGAAACAACCAATACATTATGTGTTCAAACAGTCTTTAATATGAACACAAAGAGGAAAAAAAAAAAGTAGAGAGGAAAACAAAGAAGCTATTATCTAACTAGGTTTCATTTCAAATAGATGTGCATTTCTGAGGAGCATCGTTTTAAAGTCAAGTTAACCTTGGACCAAACGTTAACAGTTGGATTATTCACACTTCTGCAGGTGAGGAAGGTAGGCCCATACCTCATTTATGGAGAAAGAAGGGAAATTGATTGTACTTCTGTCAATAAAAACCAAAACAAAACCAGAAACCAAACCCCAACCACTGTTTTCAATGTATTACAGTTATTTTTGACACTCAGACAAGTTGTATTATCAACTTCTGTACAAATTAGCATTTTCTGCAGTGAGGATTGGGTTTGATTGTAGATGACGAGTTTAACTTCTTTATTTTATAATACAGAAGTATTTCTTGGTTCACATTTGAAGTAGCTTGAAAGTCAGGGAGAGCAGAATGGAAAGGAATGATTATGGAATGGCAGAAGTTTGGTGTTTTTCTGCGCTGCGATATTTTGGCATATATTAACGTGTGTGTGTCTTGGAGTCTACATGGCCATTAGAAGCTTTTGCCTGTCTTACTGTTGTGAAATAGCTGCCTGATTTATCAGCATTGCATGCAAAGTAACGATGTGAAGATTCAATCTTGCAGAATATTTGACTTCTTTTATTTTCCCTCCTATGAATGTTGTCTTTGTTCTTTGTTGTTAACACAAGTTTTTATTAATGTCTCATACCTAAAAAATGGCAAATATGCCTTTAAATTATTTGGTATTTTTTCCTTCTGTGCTGTTTCCTTAGAACTAGTGTAATATGTGCATCATTGGTCTCCTCACTGCATAAACAAGTTGCCTGACAAGTACAGGATTTGCATTTGAGCTAAGACAGTAAATATGCGAGGTCTTTGTGAATGGCTGCTAATGCTGCAGAAATTATCAGCTGTCACTCTCTTGCCACCAGCAGCCACACACAGACAGCTACTTACTGATCTTACTTTGTGAACTCACTTCAGTTGCTGACATGTGAAGTTGTCACACGCCTTTCTTCAGGACAAACTTGTAGGAGTATAATCCTGATCTTTGTCAGAAGAGTTCCGCAGGCACCATGAAGCAGATCCCCAAAAGCATTTAGGCACTTAGTTCCTACTGATGTTGCAGTAGACATCTAAATTCATCTGAGAACCTGAAGGTTAGTTCAGCAGAGCCAGCCTACCCTGCAGCAAGTTTTCCATTGCTGCTCTCCCAGGGAACCAGGCATTCAGAACATCCTCTTACTGCTTTCCCTGATTAAATGAACTGAAGCAATGAAGATTCATTGCCTGCATCCACTATCAAAGCAGGCATCATGCAGAAGTACTGGAGACAAAAACGATGTAAGGAAAAATTAGCCATTAAAATGGCTCAGGCTTAAAGCGTAGCTCACCGTAGTCCATCCTATCTGTGGCCCTAAATCTTTAAAGTATAAGGTAGCAGTTGTGCCAACAGGGAGCTGCTGCAAGGTTTCCTCATCCCTCAGGGACTTTCCTTCTGAGAAGGAAAGAAGTAATTACATCAGTGAAATTCAAGTCAACTTTGGCAGCGTATTAGCTTTATATTGTGCTTTAACTCATCTGTGGGAGTCTTTGAGGTAATGTGGGTTTATTGGAAACTCAATAAACAAACTGAGGATGTTTATATTTTTTAATTACTATTTTATCCCTGTAATCACATAAAAGCCTGGATCCTCTAGGTCAGTTAGGAGAATTTTTGGTCCTATGTGGCTACCTAGTCTAGTAGACTTGCTTCATTACTGCTACAGCAGAATTTGCTGATGGGTCACTGGCCTTCACCATTGTTCACTGGCCTCTTTGTCAGCTGCACCTCCTTCTCTTTCATCTCTTATCATTGCTCACTGTCAAACAAACAGAAGCTAGAATAATCTGAGATAGGAAGGCTTTCCTACAGGTTTTCAATGTTTCCTTTTTTGCCAACCAACCAGCTAGGAGGTGATTCCACAGCACTTTAGCTCGTTCTCAAGTTTCTAATGCCCAGATCTGGGGGAATCTCCAGAAAGCCTGGATTTTCCCATTGCAAGTCTCACAACATAAGTCCATAGAGGAATCTGGTAAGGTAGATCTTTGAAGAAGGGAATAAGATACTCATAGGCCTGTTTCCACGGGCAGATCCTACTAATTTTCACCAGTATACTTGTAAGGAACTGTTTAAATAAAATTACACTTAATGGAAGTAAAAGAATTTGCCACATTTTATACTGAACGCTAAAATGAATTAACACAGCTTGGCAATTAGACTTTCTTTTGTGTACCCAGGCCATGTACTAAGAGGCTTCTAGTAGCAATACCTACTACTGCATTAACGAAGCCAGCCAGCTGGCATCAGCTTTGTCAGCAAATCCTACATCCATGGCAATGTGTTTTGCATTAGCTTACCTCAAAAGGACTGTAATTCCTGCCTGAGAACAGAGGATTATGTGAATTGAGAGCTCTAACTCATACCCCTTTTTAGTGCTAGCAGCTGAGCATCGCTGTGGAGATCATTTCACTGCAGCTAAGAGAAATTGGTATCGTAATTCTGTGTTGCCTATCTTGAGAACAAAAGTGCTCAGTAGTTAGAAAGTGCATTGGAACGATGTGCAGAGTCCTGAGTTAATTACCAAGCACCAGGCACATGGGTGGAAATATGTTCAATACTTTCAAAGTACTCAATTTATTCTGGGTTCTCTTCAGCCTTCATAGTGCTAATTAACATAGCTGGAAACTCATTCCTAAGAGCTAATGCCCATGCAAAGTACACCTTTTGTGTCAGGCCCCTGCTCAGAGCTTTGTTACTCTGTTCCTCACAAGTACTTACTTGGATCAAGTTTTATCGACTGCCTTGCTGGATACCACTGAGGATCTGTAAAACCATACAGAATTGTGTGATACATGATGTTTTAGATCATCCAATACTATAATGAGTGCAACACAACAAGAGAACATTTAGTTAAAATCTGTAGGGGTATTTATTCAATACAAGTATCTGTGAGAAATTTTGCAGCAGAAAAAATACAAAGGTGTATCAGGATAAAAAAACTATACCGAAATCTCCCTGTGATCACATTCATATGCAGGTTACTCAGCATTATGTGTGTGAACATCACATGTTTCAAATGACATCATTTTCTCCTGTTTATATGCTGTGTATTCTGTTGTGATGCAAACTGCTGCAAAAGTTATACTCACATAATTTATGGAACATCAATCTGATTTCCCTAATTGTGGCATTTGGTTCCACCTAGGGAACAAAAAAAAAATACGGTATATGTGAGATGCATACTTTGAAAGACAATAACTAGGTCTGAGACTATTCAAGCAGAAATGTTACTCAAACAGTGTGACAGCATAAATTTTTAACAGATGGCTGCATTGGTATGGGCGGTTCAAGGTACTGCTTGCAGGAAAAAGGGAGGATAATTTGTGACATCTGCTTCAGAGGCAGCTTCTGTAGCAATGATCAAGGGTTACTACAACAGCACTGGCACTTTGGTGGCTTATGAGTGAGTAAAACACAACTGGCACCATCTCAGTGAAGCAGCTGAAGTTGTCCTCTTCACCCAAAAACTCCTTCTGGAAAAGGGTTGAAGGAGTCTATAATCAGTATGAAGTGTGTATAATCATTGCCTCTATCAGCCAAAGGAAGGCTATCAGGAGATTAGATACCCTTCATAAACACCAAGTTTACTTAAGAAAAGTTACTAGTTTTTAAATAGTCACCTAGCCTTTTAAACAGGTTTTGGCTTTACCTTATCTAGGAAGCATAGCTGTTCCTTTGTCTTCCAGTCAAGGATTTCCACCTGATAGGACACAAAATTAGAATTACTAATGATCAGCTGAATAATCTGTAAACTCTCACTTGCTTCCCAAATTCAGTCATTGCTCAGGGTGAGACACCATTTTTCTCAGATGCGTGGACTGTGGTAAAAACACTTCTGGTGTGCTCAAGAGACCGCTTTAATCATAGCCAGGTTCTCAAAGCACACAACTTGCAAATAAACAAGCCTTTTTGCCAAATAAATTGTATTCAGAAGCAGAAGTAGCTAACTTACTGATCAAAACACACTGATCTGGGGTATTCTGCTACAGCAAGAGGAACAACTATGGGGTAGAGACAGGAATCACTAAGGAACACAATGTTTATGATTTGCAAAAGTAGAAAGAGAGTTGGGAGGGGCAAGTGCATATATATGCCTGTAAGCAATATTCAGAGTACATACATATTGAAGATTAATGGGCATTGTTCCCAGAATATTTTAATTGTAAAGAAACTGAAAAACGTTAGTGGACATAGTGAACAAATGCAGCTGAAGATCTGGACTTCACAGGTCCTTAAGAGGCTGATGTAGGAATATTCCGCATTACTCTTGCCTCTCAGATCACGTGTGTTGATAGCTGCATTTTAGCATTTTACACTCCTAGCCATGGTTTAGCTACAGCTCTGAAAAGGAATGAGCACTTTGGCAAAAGGTTATGATTTTAATCAACAGCCAAGCAGAAAAGGTCCCAGATGTCTCAAAGCCCAGTTGCAGCAGGATAGCAAAACCTAAAATACAGAGGTGGTGCTTTGGTTTAATTTGTTCTCATCAAACACTGTAACAGAATTTTGTGGTAGAGCTAAGAATGAAAGTCCAGAGCTTATCTGTCACACTAAGTGACTGGGACTGTCATTACTTTGTACTGAAAGTTTGTTGTTTGGATTTGTGGTGGGGGGGGTTAAAATAAACATCTAGCATGAATTACATTTGGTATTAACTGGCCAAGAAGATGGATTAACATTAGACTTTAAATATGATTCCTTACTAAAAATAGGAGTCACAGTCCAGTATCTTTTTAATAGGGTTGCTTTGAAGAGATCACTTGGTTAGAGTATCTTATTTCTGTTTTACTTGTCCCAAATTGTTCGTTCTCTATTGGTGCAGCACTTCAGCCAGAACTATAAGATCTGATCAGTTCTGTGCAGTTCTGGTGTCCTCAACATAAAAAGGACATGGAGCTGTTGGAACAAGTCCAGAGGAGGGCCACAAGGATGATCAGGGGCCTGGAGCACCTCCCATATGAAACAGGCTGAGAAAGTTGGGGCTGTTCAGCCTGGAGAAGAGAAGCTGCGTGGAGACCTCATAGCAGCCTTCCAGTATTTGAAGGGGGCCTACAGGGATGCTGGGGATGGACTCTTCATTAGGGACTGTAGTGATAGGACAAGGGGTAATGGGTTAAAACTTAAACAGGGGAAGTTTAGATTGGATATAAGGAGGAAATTCTTTCCTGTCAGGGTGGTGAGGCACTGGAATAGGTTGTCCAGGGAAGCTGTGAATGCTCCATCCCTGGCAGTGTTCAAGACCAGGTTGGACGAGGCCTTGGGTGATATGATTTAGTTTGAGGTGTCCCTGCCCATGGCAGGGGGTTTGGAACTTGATGATCTTAAGGTCCTTTCCCACCCTAACTATTCTATGATTCTATGATCTCTACAAGGGATACCAATGCAGTGATATTTTCTACGTCTGCATTGTAAGCTCTAAGTGCAACATCAAGGGAGGTAAGCATTTTTCCTCCTTTGGGACAAGTAACGAATATGTGATAGATTATTGGGATATTATGTGTTTTCCCTTCACTTTTTATATTTGAAATAACACAAATTTCAAGTTTTAATGTCCCTGTGGATCATCTCCATGGGAAAGCAAATGAAGTGAACCCCTTCCCAAAGGGTGGTTCTTGAAACATAGCATTTTGACTGTTGCAGTCCACAGAACAAGTACTGTGGGGGTTGTAAAACATTTTTTATTCCTTCTGATGCCATATTCCTACGAGGATTATTTAAATCTTTAATGTATCTTGAAACTCTTGTGTCATTGAATACCATTGGGCTGTCCTACAGATTGCAGCAGTGCCCACAGTTTTAGCAGTCTCCTTCCCATTCCATACCCACTCCCAGCATACATATTTTGGATCAGGATTCCCCAGGGGTAGTTTTTGTCTATGGTCTTCAGTGGCTGTATTAGAGGAACCTCCTCCAGGCCAATTACAGATTGGTTTTGGATGTCTTTCTGCCACTCATTCTCTTTTAGTAGGGTTATTCTCATTATGCACAAGGCCCGACTGAAAATTATGGAGCATTTTCTTTTGCTCTGTGGTTTGCATGAGAGTGGCTGTGCAGAAAATTAGGTACTTCTGTGAACCTCTGGAATTAGTGTGGAAAACAAATTACCCAAGATCCTCTATATTGATTTTGGTTCTATTCTACCACGTCTCTTTGAACTGGCGAAGTGACATATCTGCCTGTACTGGCCCATTTCTTCAAATACTTAAAGGAAGTCTATAAAGATGATGAATCCAGACTCTTCTTGAAGGTGCGCAGTGATAATGTGCCTACAAGGGGCCTACAAGAAAGCTGAAGAGGGACTTTTTACAAGGGCCTGTAGTGACAGGACAAGGGGAATGGCTTTAACCTGCCAGAGGTGAGACTGAGATGAGCTCTTGGGCAGAAGCTCTTCCCTGTGAGGGTGCTGAGGCGCTGGCACAGGGTGCCCAGAGAAGCTGTGGCTGCCCCATCTCTGGCAGTGCTCAAGGCCAGGTTGGACACAGGGGCTTGGAGCAACCTGCTCTAGTGGAAGGTGTCCCTGCCTGTGGCAGGGGGTTGGGACTGGATGAGCTTAAGGTCCCTTCCAATGCAAACCATTCTACAATAATGGTGAGAAGCAACAGACACCAGTTGCAATAACGGAAAATCCAACCAGATACAAGGAAAATTTTTCACCATGACCTTGGCCAAACATTGGAAAAATATCGCCTAGAGAGGCTGTGGAATCTCCATCCTTGGAGGTATTTTAAATTGGACTGGACAAGACCCAGTGCCATTTGATCTAGCTGTATCTGCTTTGAGCAGGAATTGGACTACATGACTTCAAGAAGTCCCTTGCAACCTAAATTATCCAGTGTTTGTTTTTTTTATTTTTCATTTTCTTTTTTTTGGACACCCATTCCTGAACTTCAGGCATTTCAATTACTTTCAGTTACTTTCAAGATCTAAGCAAATATCAACCTTTCCCTTTTCAGAAAGATGGAACAACTTCAGATTCCACTCCAGTCCATAGAAAGCAATGACAGATTGAAAACAAGGTGACCATTTATTCTAATTTCACACCTCTTAGCTGTATCAAAACATCCCCCAGAGTTTAGATGTTCCCTGCTTAAGAGACAGAGATTACATCTTTTCTGATATCAAGAAATGTCATCTTTTCTGAACATAATGGCCAACCGCATGAACCCAGGTGGCACTGAACACAGTGTTTCCAGTCTTCAGGCACAGCACCAAGTCAGTTAATGTGTTGGTTGGCAACAGTTTTTAGATACCCAGCAATCTGTTTTTGGAACACTTACTGATGGGTATTATCTCTTTCAAACAGAAATTATTTGGCTCAGAGAACTTGAATTTCTATGTGTTTTCAAAGCATTTAGCACATTTAGACACTGACTGTTGGCCTGCACTAGTGCAGGATGACTTACAGTCCACTTCTTGTGTGAATTTTTAAAGGTATTTTAAATTGCAGCTTCTCTAAAACTACATTGAGTAGAACTTAATCAATAATAGGCACATTTGTGCAAGGATAGATATGTTAAAACTCTTTTATAAGTGACTATGTATCTCCAATGTTAAGATGACAAATCTATTGTATAAGGATTAAAGACTGATAGTGGCTTTCAAAACAGAAAAATTCTTAATTGCTTAGAAAAGCTTGAGGGCAAAGGGTATTATCAATACATGATATAAGCAGAGAAAAGTACCTTCAGCAGTTAAACTTTAATTCAGAAAATAAAAGGGGGAAAAGTTTATTCATGGAGGAAACGCAGTTGAGCAAAGAGCATTTAGAAATGAATTTTTAGGATGCAGTGTCCCTGAAATAGGATTAAAAAAAGGATAGAGTCGATCAAATTCCTGTTTAAATAGTTTAAAGCCATATCAAGTACTTAAGGATCAGCAGATCTTCAGAAATTATATGATAACTATTATGGCAATACTGACACATTTATCATGTCTTGGAACTCGTATTTGCAGCCATTTGTACTCAGCAGATTGAGTAAACTGCAGATGAGAGAGATGTTGTGAGACTGACATAAACATTTATTGTATTGATTTCTTTCTAAATCACTCAGTAAAAAAACCCTGCTTATTTTACAGTGGAGGAACTAATCAGCCTGAGAAAGAGTAATGCAGAATTCATTCTGAGCTATTAGAGTGCTTACACAAGTCAGGTGCCTGGAGTTTAACACTTAAAAAAATCCAGTGGTTGCCCAGTCCTAACTACCTTTTTCTAACCTTTTTATTTTCCTATGGAATTAGCCAGTTTCTCTGTCTCCTGAGACTTTTCTGGTAGATTGTTTTGGTCCTGAAGAAAGGAAGCATGCCTTAGTGTGACCTCACACAAGGGCGTATCAGGAATAACTTCCTTGAAGTCGATATTGTTAAGCCAAAGGGCCTTTTAAACCAGTGTAAACGTGTTGCACACAGTGTCCTGAGGTGGGGAATTCCATAGCTTAGCTACATGCTGCATGAGGAATCCCAAAGCAGAACCAAAGGCAAATGTTTAACCACAAATCGAAATGTCATCATCTTACCTGTGGAGGGCTGTACCTTATTCTGTAAGTAGTCCAGCTAAGTAGAGCCTTACCTCTCTGAAGCAATTAGCTCACATTTCAAGAGACTAAAACTTTATTACATTGTTTGACTGTGTATAAAGAGAAAGGATACAGTGACACCCATACTGAGAAGGTTTTATGCAATTAAATTTCACTTTTGTAGAAT